ACCAGACAGTTAAGGTAAATCCAGTTATCTGAAAAAATTTACAAGCTAGAAGAAGCCGGCCAAGTAATCCAAGCTAAGTCGGCATTGACTTTGAAATTATTCAGCAACAAAGTAACATTTTTATATTTTTTGTATAAACTGTTCATATTTTCAGCATCATACTATTTTTCTGTAAGACATATAGACCATACATGGACTACCAAAATTAGCACGAAGAGAAAGAATGCAAACCCATTTTTTCTTATACTATACTCTCCAGAATACCATACAAAGATTAATTCCCAAATCATTGACAAATATATAATTGATCCCAGATTCCATTATTATTCCACTGACACTAGTTTTTTTTCTTATAAGTGCCAACTGCTAGTCAACAGTTTCCAAAGTATAAAAACACAACTAAAATCATAAAAAGCTCTGATTAAAATACAAAGCATCTATAACAAACACAAATGAAGCCAACCGCTCTCTAATACACCTACAGCATTCATTAAAACAAAATGCACAGTAACCCGGTGAAATTTAAAAGAACCCAAACTAATTATCCATTAAATATGCTTCAAGAAGGTATCCCAGTTCAGGAATTGTCACAAACAAACATCTATCTAAGCCCCAAAGCCAGGATTCCAACATACTTTTTCAGTTCTGGAGAAACAGAGAACTCAAAAAGCAAAACTGAAACAACTCCGGATACAAGTAGTCCTCGACTTATGACCACAATTGAGTCCAAAATTTCTGTTGCTAAGCGAGACATTTGTTGAGTGGATTTTGCCCCATTTTACGACCTTTCCTGCCACAGTTGCTAAGTAAATCAACGCAGTTGTTAAGGTAAGTAACACAGTCGTTGTGTGAATCTGGCTTCCCTATTGACTTTGCTTGTGAGGTCACAAAAGGTGATCACGTGACCCTGGGACAATGCAACTGTCATAAATACGAGTCCCTTGCCATGTGTGTGAAGTTTGATCATGGGGATGCTCCAACCGTCGTAAGCGTGAAAAACGATAAGACCTATTTTTTCAGTGCCGTTGTAACTTCAAACAGTCGCTAAATGGAAGACGAGGACTACCTGTAACTCCAAGTTCACCCAACCTACTCTTTCATCCTTCCTGAGCAAAAGCTGCCCAAACCAACAGACCACACCTGAAGCCATCCTGGTTGCTCTCTGAGCTTGTTTGCTTGCAGAAATTTCATTACATTTCATTCATGTAGATATGTTAATTGACAGTGCACTGAGGTTGTTACCCGGTTGGGTAATAAAACGTCTGCAGGCAAAACCACACCAAGGCTTAGAGAACAAGGAGGACAGTGGCACCGTGAACCCCTGAGCCGCTTATATTCTCTTCTATCGAGATCACCCTAACTTATTTATCTTCCTGCCGCCATGAAGCATCAATCAACCAATCAATCAATCCATACAAGATTGTATGGACTGATTGATTTGGGCTGCACCCGAATCAAGGGCAGGAAGGACCTATAAGGTCCCAGCCCACCTCGCTCGGTTACTATCCTCCGGCTCAGATCCGGGCCGAGGACCTTTCGCTTTCGGGGTGAGGGGGGGTGAGGGGGGGGTTTCCAAGCGCGCAATACATGCGGGCAGTTCAAACACAGGCGGTTGCGCCAACCTGCACGCGCGGGCGCTCCCAATCCCGTTCCCGCTTTGCGGTCGGCTTGGAGAGACCCAAGAGCGTGCGGGGGCAGCCCTGGGTGGGCGCTAGCTGGGGTGGGGTAGGAAGAGGGAGACACCCCTCACCGGTGGAGGGTGGGGAAGGTGGATTTCACCAAAATAATTGTAGAAATTAGGGTGGCTCCCGCCCCCGCGATGAAAAGGAGGCGGATCCGGGCTGGTGGACCCAGCCCTGGATCCCTTGGGAAAGCGGAGTGGGGGGGTTGGGAAAGCCGAAGGGAGCCCCCCCACACACTCAAGAGGAGGAGGGGGGGCAGAGAAGGGGATTCCCACCCTGGACGGCAACGGCCAAAGGGAGCGTCTCTCGGCGGTCTCCCAGCCCCGCCTCCCAGCGCCAGGCAACGGCTGGCTGCCACCTTCGCCTTCCGCGCAGCCCCCCGCCGTTCCCGGGCCGAGGGGTACCGAGGTCCGCTTCTCTCGTTCTCGCCCCCGAAGCAGCTCCACACACACCAAGGCCCGCCCCGTCGTCGTGTGTGTGTGTGTGTCCCCCCCCCCCCCCCCCAGCCCGCTTACCTGACAGAACCCTCGGCAATAGGCGCTGGAAGAGGCCGCCTCCGCCGCCCCCTGCTCGCGCAGCTCCGCCTGCAACTGCCACAGCCGGGAGCGGAGGCCAGCGGCCAGCCGCTGCATCTCCGGCGGCAGGGCCGCGTCAGCCTCGGCGTCCGCCATCTGCACCCGGCCCCACTGCGCGTAGGCAACCCGATCACGTGACCGCCCCGCTCCCGTCGCTGACCACATCGGCGGGGGACGCGTCACGTGACTTTCGGCGGGGGCCCGCCTCCTCGGGCCCCGCCCACTTTCCCCTGCCTGCGCATGCTGCCGCCCATCGGGAACCCGACAGCGGGTAGTTCCCATTGGCCTCCGCTCTCTCCCTCTCCTTCTGGAAACCGTGACGTCAATACATCGCGCTGGGCGCCCCCCCCACTTTCCTCCTCCAGCGAGCCAATGGAGCGAAGGGGCGGAGTTCCTGCTTCAGGGCGATGGTTCGGGAAGCCTGGGCCGTGGGGCTGCAGCAAATAAGCTCTAATGCGATCCACCGTTTAATTTATTATTATTATTATTATTATTTTCAATGTTTGTGGGTTGTTTTTTTAACGTTTTGAATAGGTTAGGCTATGATCTGGAAATAATTTTATAGGTAGATCTATCTATCTATCTACCTATCTAAATATCTATCTATCTAAATATCTATGTAAATATATATCTATTTAAATATCTATCTATCTATCTATCTATCTATCTATCTATCTATCTATCTATCTATCTATCTATCTATCTATATATTAATGGAACTATATTAAAATATTTTCTTTTTCAATTAAAATATTTTAAGTGTTTAACTACAGGCTTTAATATTTTTTCCTTTTTCTACTACCAATTGTATATATTTAATTTTTTAGGAGAAATGGTTTTGGTTCCTTTTTTTGCTGATTTCTGAAAATCTTTGCTACTCAGTGATTTTTAAAAAAACAAAACAAAACACCTTTGCCCACACTCTACAGGTGTGTTGGAGTAGCTACCACCCAGAATCGGAACCCTAATTTACATCAAAGAAAGGCACTGTAACCACTATCCTGCTTTTATATTATTCTAGGTAACAGAAGCAAAAGTAATTAGAAAAGCCTTTTGAAATGCAAGGCTTAAAGAGAGAATAAAATATCAAATGTGTTTAATATATTTATATACTGCTTCCTATTTCATAATGATTTACAATTAAAACAGTAAAATAAACAATACATTAAAATTATATGAAACAATGTTTAGTAAATAAAATATTTATTAAAACACTGGAGAGGGCAAATGTTCTTAAAATATTGATAACAGGGAGGCCTGAATGAAGAGATGAATTTTTAACAGGTAACTAAAACATTCTATAGCAAACACCTTCCAAATTTCATAAGGGAGATTATTCCACATTAATAGTGCATAACAAACACTACCAATGAAATATCATACTAGCAAAACTATTCTTAAACAAATATTCAAAAAAATCATATTCCTACATGGTATTCCTAAACAAATTAAGAATATACCGGTATGTGTATTTCATAGTTCTGGAATTTATTTTTGGCAGCAGGTCTAGAAGCAGATCGTGTTAAACCATGATATGGTTTATTGCAGGAAGGAGGGAACATAGGATGTTTGTTAATTTGATAGCTTTAGCTTATTGTATGAATCAACCACTGAATGTTAATCCCGTGGACAGAGTTTTAAATCAAATGTATAGGATTTATTTTTTAAAAGTGCTGATAGTAATTCCCATTAGGGCAGAAGAAATCATGATTATCTCAATTAAAGCCAGAATAAAGACCTAACCCTTCCTGTGTTGAAATCCTGAAGCTGATTCATGCAATGAGAGGATCTCTTACTTACTGCAACACTTTTTTTAAAAACAGCAGTTGAGGTGGGGAGGAGAATTAATTTCCCCACACATACAATTTTCCTCAAGGCTCAATATGGTATGCAAAATGAGAAGACATGCTGCAGACTGATTCCAATCTTAAACCTCATATTCCATTCCCATATTTTTATTCTGAATCCAGGCCACTGCCCAGCTAATCCTCTCTACCTTCTGACTCACTAAAATGCTTGCTTCACACCCAGGCATTGTACTAATGGTTCAGTGAGAAAGGTTTGATGCAAATCCAATAGGAAAGTTGAAATCTTTAAGGTAGTCAATACAGAGAGGTATTCATTCCTTTGTTAACTATGTATTTTGAACTGTGGCAGCAGGCACTGTATTAAATTTCCCTTGTTGGCTTGTTTGCCATATTACCTGAACAGTGTTCCTGAACAGTGTTGTTCCTGAGCTCCACAGGAAAGGATGCTGTAGCTAACTTTGGTACAGGTGCATGTCAGTCATTTTATTGTAGTCTCAGATCAATACAAGAAATGTAGCAGTAAGTGACACCTATAAAACGCTCTAGCTTAAGAAACCATTAAATAAAAAATTAAAACCAAAATAAAATGTGTCTATAAAACAACCCGACTTGGACCCATAAGTGTACAGTAATGCAATATATGTCTGGCTACAGGTGAGATAATGCCTAAAATTTTATAAAATGTGCTATCTACAGTTACATAAACTGTATGTAGTAGGAACTTGAGCTGTCATGATCCGGTGGATTTTATATACTGCTATACAAAATCTAATTATGTGCTATATTAAATGGTAGGCATATACATTTTATTGCGGTTCTTAGCCTGTGTGTATATTTATTATACACATATATAGACATTAAACACACATCACAAAAATAACAAAAACAATTTAAAGAGTTTAAAAGAAAAGAGAATGAATAGGAAATTGTAAATGTATCATGAAAATACAATTTTATTGGTTGATGTTAATTTCCTCATTCTTGTGGCAGCAAGACAAAATTTGGCTACATTACAGGTAAGAGTGGTCTTATTTTCTGCTAAAATAGTGTTTATATTTATTGAATCATGTAAAAATAACAATATAGCATTAAACCCACTAGATCAGGGATGTTCAATCTTGGCAATTTTAAAACTTCTTGACTTCAACAAGCTGGCTGGGGAATTCTGGGAGCGAAGTCCACAAGTCTTATGGTTGCCAAGGTTGGATACCTTTGCTAGATATTAATGTAAATAAAATACTGTTCATGGGAAAAAATAGTATCTTTTAACAAATGAAAAATAATGAGAAGAATGACATTGTTTTAAATGTTTCCAAATATCGTCAATATCTGGCAAATAATTTTGATTTTGCAAACCTCTCAAATGGTCTTCTTGAGGGACCCCCAGATGTCCTCAAACCATAGTGGTGGCTGGTGGCTGAGCAGACTGATAGCATTGTGATTAACACCAGCTGTCTGCAATTACTGTAAGTTCGAATCTCACCAGGCTCAAGGTTGACTCGGCCTTCCATCCTTTCTAAGGTAGGTAAAATGAGGACCCAGTTTGTGGGGGCAATAAGCTGACTTTGTATAAATATACAAAAGTATGAAGGCTATTGCTTAATGCCTTGTAAGCTGCCCTGAATCTCCGGAGAAGGGCGGCATATAAATCAAATTAAAAAAAAAAAAATAGTCATGGTAGGTAGATGTCCCCATGGTTGTCTCTGCTTAGGAACTCCTTTATAAGGGACTCAATTAGTTCCTCACACAGGTTCAAGTACAAATGATAGCGCAACAGGATGTAATAATAAATGGTAGTTCATCTCCAAGGAGAATCTGGGCATAGGCTGAGAAATCAGGGTATGATGGTCAGGAGGACAAACCTGGTTTGAATGTCTATAAAAGGAGCAACGAAGAAATAAGTTTTCACTGCTTCAGAATCACAGAGACACAGTCTATGGCTACTGTTTGATAACTGCCATCCCAAATTGCAAATGGGAGAATTCTGACATTGAGCAAACGATAGCAAGGTGTTTTCTAGCTGTGCGAGGTAGCCAGTAGCGCGGTAGCTAAAAAGGGAGAGGCAACAAATTCAGAACAATTTATATTCAAAGCATTTTATAAGGAAACCGAAAAATTCTGCTATTTTAGAGACCACACACTTATTTGTCATATAATTTGTTTTATTTATATTTCATATTTCTATACTGCCTACCTCCCTCAGAGATTTGCCCAATAAATCATAGCTGAGCCAACCATGGTTTTAGTTTGGCTCAATTGATGAGTCTGGTTACTGTTGAATTTCTAGATCAGGGGTCTCCAACCTTGGCAACTTTAAGCCGGGAGGACTTTAATTCCCAGAATTCCCCAGCCAGCAAAGCTACTGTAGATCACTCAGAAAGTTGAACTGCCTGAAGAGGTCATGTGTGAAGATGGGGAAGAACAAGCCAAGGAGAGACTGGTCATCCACCATCCTATCCTTGAACTTCTTTCCATGAAGGATGACCTCATTCTTCTGTGATTAGAGGCCACCTATAATCTTGTGGCTGCAATCAACATTTTGGGAACAGCTGCAGTGCACAGAAAACAACCTTCCTCAAAACCTCCTTCCTCCAGATATGTGCATGCCTCCACAATTCCCAGCCAACAGCAGCAAAGGCTGAATGAGGAAGAAGAGGCCTAAGCCCAACACACCCAAGGTTATCAGGGAAGGACAGCACAGAAGGTGGTTCCTGCCCTTTTAGTGCAAACACACTGACAGAAACTACCACCGCAGCTGGGAATCCAATGACTTTTGCAAGATGGCCGCCCAAGAACCATCACCCTTGCCCATCCTACTGGGACTTGTAGCCCAGCAACTGGGATGGGGTTGCACTGCTTCCCAACTCCCTGATCTATGCCATTCATTCTTAAGAATATTTTCTTTTTTAAAAAAAATCCCATCCCACCTCAGCAACCCTGACCAGGACAATAAAAAGAGGGAGTTCAGAAGTCTATTGTCCTTCCAATCCGGCTTGGTTTCCTTGAGTTCTCCTCTATTTCTAATCCAGCTTCTGGCTTTTCCCCCTCCAACAAAGCCTTCTGCAGTCGGTTGGTTTTGCCAATGGCCAGCTTAGGGAGTCCACGGTTGAGCCCCTCCAACAGCACACAAGCTTTGCAAAGGGGCTGGCTAGAGAAGTAGCCGCACCGCCGGCAGGTGCCCTGGACGGGCAAGCGAATGTCCTTACGGATAGCCAGACGCTCCCCCGAGTGCACCAAGTCAGCCACTGAGCTAGGCCGGATAGCTTCCAGGTCTTTCAGCAAGGCACGGACGTGGCCCCGGTAGGCATTGGGGGCGTACACGCACTCGGTGCTGAAGTAATCCAAGCCCTGGAAGTAGGCATAGAGCACAATCTCTTTTTCGTAAGCGTGCTTCAGCGGTTTGCAGCGAGGCAGGGTTCCCTCACCGCCCGTCAGGATTTCGGCGCAGCGTTGAAGCCGGCCAACGTCGCCCCGCAGGAAATTCATCAAGATTGTCTCAGCCACGTCATCGGCGTTATGACCTAGGAAGCAAAGAGAAGTGCAACAGGTGGATGAAATGGAGCAAATAGACTTTGGGTTTTCTTTTACAGGAGTCTTTTACGGGAGACAGTTGGAAACTCAACCTTCTTCCTCAGAAGCTGCCAGAAACTTAGTTTGGGTTTACTAGCAAATCCTTGGCTGATACACATAGAAATAGTCATTTTAACAACTCGGTGCCTTCCGTCGTGCCCTTAAAACCTTCTTTTTTCAGCAAGCCGGGCTGGCCTAACACTTTTTAAATGTTTTAAACTGGTTTGTTATTGTTTTTAATTACGGGGCCAAATTTATATATATCCTTTTAATACTATTTTAATGTTTGTAATTTATGTTTTTATTTGGCTGTACACCGCCCTGAGTCCTCAGGGAGAAGGGCGGTATATAAATTGGATATAAAATAAAAAATAAATAAAATAAAACAACTCAAAGACCTTTAGAAGATTTTCAAAATTAAGGTGCAACATTGAGAACGAAGGAATTTCTGGTCTTTTAATAAGCCGGCTCGGCTCCGTTCTGAAGCTGAAACTGAAGATCCTGACTCGGCACATGCTCAGAGTCACTCTTGCTACAATTAGTTCAATGAGATACAGTTAGCCACAAACTCCTCGCCTATACATCAAGGTGCATTCGCACAACATGCTCAATCCAAACCAAACTAGATATCTAACTAGAGTGTTTTTCAGCCTCAGCTATTCTATGGTGGTGGACTTCAACACCCAGAATTCCCCAGCCATCAAAGCTGGCTGGGGAATTCTGGGAGTTGAAATCCACGCATCTTAAACTTGTTGAGATTAAGAAACACTGCCTTACTACTCAATGTGATGTCTGAACGTAGCCATAATGCTACCAAAGTTAATGTTCCCCATTATTATCCTTTCAAAAGCTTAAGGCCATTACTAAATTTTAAAGGAGTTAATCTTATAATTACAAACAACATACTAATCCCCATTTGTTTAGCTATGGTTTATTTAATAAATCATAAATGGCTGGGCTCACACAAAGCTGTAAACCAAACGCAAACTCAAACCATAACATGTTGTGCAAATCCAGCAATACCACCTACTGACTGGAGCAACGTGGTGCCTCCAGAATGTTCTGAATACAGCTGCCATGATTCCTGCCATGGGCCATACTAGCCGTAGCTTATGGGGATTGTGGTCTGAAACAGATGCACATACCACACACTCTCATTTGGGAGTATTAAAATCAACAGGACTTACTTCTGTGGAAAAATAAGAAACAGGGGTTGAACATTGGCATCCTTTCCTAAAACCTCGGTGGCCTTTCAAATAAATAGATATGTGGAGTCCTTGGAGGTCTCCGAGCATGGTCGTTTGCTTGCAGACATTTCATTCCCCAACTAGGTAACAAGATCAGCCTGCCTGGTTCAATAATGAAACTTCTGCAAGTAAATTTCACATGGCTCAAAAGCACAAAGGATACCACAGTTCAACATGTTACATATATATTCTCTTCTATTGAATTAATGTATGTATGTATGTATGTATGTATGTATGTATTTGTTTGTTTGTTTGTTTGTTCGATTTATATGCCGCCCTTCTCCGGAGACTCAGGGCGGCTTACAATGCTTTAAGCAATAGCCTTCATACTTTTGTATATACCTGCTTAGTAGGGCTTTTTGGGGCCCCCTAAGCGGTGTTCTATTTTATACAAAGTCAGCTTGAATCATACAGATATAACATAACAGGTCATAAAACGGGGCAAAACACACTTAACAACTGTCTCACTTAGCAATGTTGTGGTCCATTGTGAACTGTTGTGCTCCATTGTGATCATAAATCGAGGACTACCTACACTGATTTCTTACAGGCGTTTTGTATCCATGTCCACCAGCCCGGTCCCCGTACCTGTGGCTATCTTGTCGGCCCCTAACAAAACGGCGCCCCGGTCCAGCGCCTGCCTCCGGAAGACGCCGCAGAAGGTGCAATTGTTCCTGGATCCCGTGTGTTGGACGATGCGGTCCATGCTCCATCCGTAAAGCTCCCGGTAGGAGACCACGTGCAAAGGCAGGCCCAGGCGGCCCCGGTTGCGCTGGACGGCGGCTAGCGAGTCGTCCCGGTAGCCCGCGATGCCTTCGTCCACGGAAAGCAGCAAGAGGCGCAAGCCGTACCCGTGGCGCTGGTTCAGCAGGCGCAGCACGTGCGCCAGCACCGTGGAATCCTTCCCGCCCGACGCCCCGATGGCCACCGTCTCGCCCGGCTGGAAAAGCCCAGCAGACACGATGGTGTCGTGCACCTCCGCTTCGAAAGCGGCCGCGAAGCAGCTCCGGCACAACGCCTGGCCGGTTTTAGGGCGACGGAGCGCGGCCCGCTGAGCCCCGCAGCTCCCGCAAAGCACGGGCACCGGAGGCATCCCGCCAGACGGGAGAAGGGGGCGGCCGGTTGGTGGTGACACTCGCCAGGCGGGAGGAACTACGATTCCCGGCATGCTCCGCTTTTGCTCGCCTGCCCTTCCGCTCGCCCAATCCGAGCTCAGAACTAAATTCTCACGGTGGGCGGAGGCGTTAAGAAGGGGGAGTTGATGGACCGTCCCGGCTGTTGGGATTCGTGCACCGGGGTTGGGGGGCTGGCAAGACGGCTCCCTGTAGGTTTATTATTATTATTATTATTTTTGCATAAACCAGGGTTAAATCGATCTGGATTTAATGGAATGGGTAAACCGAGCACTACAGTAGTGGCCAAAATTGTGGGAATTTTGGCCACTACTTTTGGGAAAAGTGTACTTTCTAAAACTAGCTAATAACACCACTTTTTTTTCTTTTTGGGAGGAGTACCATTATTATTATTATTATTATTATTATTATTATTATTATTATTATTATTTATTATTATTATTATTATTATTATTTATTGGTTAATCTTTAGTGAGATTCACAGCCTTTGAGGCTGGTTAATAGCTCAGCAGCTCGAGTCCTAACCAAGGACCTAGGAACTGTTAAGGTATTATTATTATTATTATTATTATTATTATTATTATTATTATTATTATTATTATTATTATTATTATTTTATTTTATTTCTATACCGCCCTTCTCCCAAAGGACTCAGGGCGGTGTACAGCCTATTATAAGCACAAAACAAACATCAATTAAAATAATTTAGAATTATTAAATAATTTGGCTCAATTTAAAACCCCAGAAATTTAGAACACCCAATTTAAAATTATTATGTTGATAGCCCGGCCTGGCGGAACAACAGGGTCTTGAGTGCACAGCGAAATACCCAGAAGTCGGAGATCTTACGCATTTCCGGGGGCAGTTATATATCATTGGAAAGATGCTCAAGAATGTTCTTATGTTCCTTTCTTTCATCAAAGTAGTCAATTTTGCCATTTCAGCCAACTCCACCAACTTCTCACAGCTCAGGGAGGCTGTGAGTTCTAATCCTGCCATAGGCATAAAGCCAGCTGGGTAGCTTTGGACTGGGTGCCCTGTCTCAAACATAGGAAGAAGGCAAGAGCAAACCCCTTCAGAAAGAAGTCTGAAAACTGGCAGTCACCAGGAGTTAACACCAATTCGAAGGCACCCATATACAGACTTAATGCAGCCCAGGCTGTGTCCTTATCCAGGACATATTTAAGTACTTATTTATTTGGATGTTTAAAGTTGTCCCACTCTGAAAAGCCTCTGGACACCTTTCGTTATTGCTATTGTTCAATCACTGTGTTTAACTCTTCGTGACCCCATGGACCTTAGCACAGTCGGCTTCCCTGCTCTCCCGTCTCCCAGTTTGCCCTAATTCTTGTTCATTGCATCGATGCCATTATCTACCCATCTTCTGCCGTCACCTTCTCCTTTTGCCTTCCATCTTTCCCAACATCAGTCTTCTCCAATGACTCCTCTCTTCTCACTAGATGGGGGGGGGGGGATGAGTCTGCCTATCGAGATGAGGTGGACCAGTTCCTTTCATGGTGTGGAGACAATAACTTGGTCCTTAACACCAATAAGACCAAGGAGCTTATAGTGGACTATAGAAGGAATAGATCAGACATCCAGCCCTTGCTTATCAATGGAGACCAAGTGGAGCAAGTGGCCAATTTTAAGTTTCTGGGTGTTATCATAAAAGAGGATCTGACCTGGGGCCCGGGTTTTTCAGATTTGGGATTTGCCAGATGTGCCAGTTTACCTATTGCTAGTAAAGAGAACTTTGGAAAATACCTGCTTCCGCATCTTTACTGGGAGTCGGGAGTTTTCTGGAATGCTGACATTAGCCCTGGTCAAAAGGGGCCAGCAGAGATTATACTACCTGAGACTTCTCAGGAAACAACAACTGAATGAAAAACTGCTGGTGACCTTCTACCACTGCACCATAGAGAGTATTTTAACTTACTGCCCCTGTGTATGGTTTGCCAATTGCACAGTGGCAGATAGGACAGCGCTCCAGAGGGTCAACGTCATTGCCCAGAGGATCATTGGTTGCCCTCTCCCCTCTTAGGAAGAGCTTTATAGCTCCCGCTGCCTTAAGGAAGTTCAAAACATACTTAAAGATCCATCTCATCCTGGGCACTGTTTTTTTTTTTTTTTGAACTATTACCATCTGGCAGATGGTACAGGATAATAAAAACAAGGACAAATAGGTTGAAAAACAGCTTCTATCCCAGGACAGTAACTATATTGAATTCTACTGTATAGTGCAATATTAATGCAATAATTTCAATTCAGTTGTATAGAATGTGAAGGATGTTTGTTTGTGTTTTATTTTTATAGTTATAATGTACACTGAAGATGGCATTTAATTTCATTGTATGAGATGCAATGACAATAAAGTAAACTAACGAAGTATTTGAGCTTCAGCTTCAATATCTGTCCTTCCAAAAAACAGTGAAGGTTGACCAATGTGATCTTCTTGCAGTCAAGAGTCTTGATTCCAACACCACAATTTGAAAGCACTCTGGACCGTGTATCTCATATATACATCATTTAAAAACATGGTTAGAAACGTAATAAAAACAAGACAATATTAAAAGAGTTGACAGGGGCTCCATAAACAATAACCTCAGACCAGGAGACAGTCTTAAAAGATTTCTGGAGCAAATGGAGAGTGATATTTCTGGCACTCTGATTTTGAAAACGGCATCATTCTCAGCTCATTCAGCTGCTTGTTTCTGCAGTAACTATGGTGTACAATTATGACTTTGGTTCTTAAAAGCAAATAGTGAAATGCTGCCAATTTTCTCCCTAGTGATTTCCGAACTCTCCTAAGTGCTGCTTAACTAGAGTATTATTGTGATTTAACAGTAAGCATCATCACAAGGGTAAGAGAGCCAGTTTGGTCTAGTTAATAGTTAAGGCCCCAGGCTAGAAGCCAGGGGACTCCGAGTTCTAGTCCTGCCTTAAGCATGAAAGTAGCAGGTCACTTTCTTTCAGCACAAGTCACCTCACAGGGTTGTTGTTATGGGGAAAAATAGGATGTAGTAGTATTAGGTATATTTGCCACTTTGAATTATTTGATAAAAATGAAGGTTGGATGAGTATAGATAAAATAAGTTGGGTGATAATATTAATCTCAGCCAAACTCTTTTGCCCACCTAATGCTTGATTCGGATGATGAGACACTGCCACTAGGGGGCAGACTCATCTTAAGCATCTTCTGTCTGGGACATGGACCTCTTCTCAGAATATCATGGGATCTCTTACGTTTCCTGAACACTTAATGATTCTGGTGACCCAACAACATATTGGGTGACACTGGGCAAGTTCCAGAGATCCATGTGACATCCAATGTTTATGCTCTGTCTAGCTCTGTTTTGCACTCAAGGACTTGCCCAGTCATGGTTGTTTAACCTATAGAAATGCATTATGTAGGAAAGTAGATGGCCTCAGCTGCAAAATCTGCTTCCTGTTATTTTTCCATCATTCTTTGCCTGGGGTCAAAAGAATTTAATTTCCTGTCTTCTTTGCAACTGCCTTCCCAAAGAGGCCCAGATAAAACTTTCTGATCAAATAAATTTTCAATTTTTTCCCAAGTACTGTGATGTTGGAAAAGGAGAGCTACAGATCAGAGCAAAGAGAATTTTTAAAATAAAGTGTATTAAATTTCTGGAAAAGTTTAAATATAATAAATAAGGAAATTAAGAAGGAATAAATGGAGAAAGGGAAGATAGAAAGTGAAAAGGAAAAAAAATAGAAAAAAGGTAACTTTCAACTTTCTTCAATACAGTTATAGATGTAAAACAATCTTTTGATCTAAAGTACAATATTGTATGGTATTGCTATAATCTTAAACAATCTGAATAATCAGATCTCAAAATTAATACAGCATTTATTTCAGCGTTGAGCAAGAAATCAGTAAGTAGTTTCCATTTAGAAAGAAAGCTAGACAAAATCTTTTCTTTCATTAAGATCATTAATTTCATTAAAATAGTAACATTGCAGTCTCAACTTTTTATTTTTACATACTCATATATGCTAGCCATTTCTATAATAAGAAGCTTATCTAATCAGCAAAACCCAAGTTTCATTTTTTCCCCATCTCAAGCACAAAGTCCAGAAGCAGTTTCCAAGCAGAAACAAAATTGGACATGTTATTGTCTTTGATTAAACCAGTCAATTTAGCCATCACTGCTAGTTCCATCTATTTCTCTAGCCATTCATCCATTGTGGGAATTAAAGTAACTTTCCATTTTTGTGCATAAAACATTCTTGCTGCTGACAACATACGGATATGATATTGCTTAACTAACACTCCCAGTGTCCTCTGACATTAACCATGTTTGCCTGGTGTTCTAATACATCCTAGTGGACAATACATCCTTGTTGGTAAAACATGAGCATTTCCCTCTCTGTTACGTTCTGCAATAGTCAGCACTGTACAGAAAGTGTTACATTAACATAATTCTTTCCTATAGCATTAATTATTCCCTGTTTTTCTTTTATCAATTTTAAATTTTAAAATGACAGGTGCTGCAAATACCCTCCAAATTTGGCATAGGTCTGTTATGTGTTTCTTTAGTCCCTTGGGCAAAATGAATAAAATTTGATTCTGACCTTTCCTTACAATGAATTCTTATTCCTGTTCTTCTGGATTTCTGGTCTGGGAAACGCATCTCTTAGTCTAACTTCAGAAGAGCTTTACACCTCTAACTATCCTTGTGCTTTAGATACTTCGGGATACTTCAATCTCTAAATGAAGGAAGGAAACAAACAAACAAAAAAAAGGTTTTCCAGAACTTCCACAAAACTTGCGAAAGGTTGCATTCAGTGGTGAAATCCAAATATTTTTACTACAGGTTCTGTGGGTGTGGCTTGGTAGGCGTGGCTTGGGCATGGCAGGGGAAGGATACTGCAAAATCTCCATTCCCACCCCACTCTGGGGCCAGCCAGAGCTGGTATTTGCCGGTTCTCTGAATAAATTTCTGCTACCGGTTCTCCAGAACCTGTCAGAACCT